GGAGTCTTGTTGATTTTGCAGAGGACTCGGGTTTGGTTCCCAGTACCCACATACAGCTCATCAACTGACAGTAATTCCAGTTCCAGAGAGCTGATGCCATCTTCCGGCCTCCACAAGCCCTGCACTCAGGTCCTGCATGCACATACATGCAGGCAAAACACATACACATGAAATAAAAATAAACAAATCTTTAAAGAATCTACATTTATTTAACATTTGTGTATGATACGATATGTATGGAGAACAACTTGTAGGAGTCGGCTCTCTTCTTCCATCATTTGGGTTCTAGGGATTTAACTCAGTTTGTACAGCTTGGAGGTGATTGCAGAGCTGTCTTGTCTACAGATGTTTTGGGAGTGTGTGTAATTGAAACAAGGCTCCATTGTGTATCCCAGGACAGTGTGGAACTCAGTGCATAGCTCAGGCCTCAGCCTCCTGCGTTCTGGGATTACAGATGTGCCTCACTTCATGATCACATCTGATACAATAACCATTTCTCTACTATGTCTACCCATTTCTACAATGCTCTCTGGCTGTGTTACTGCCAAAGCCTCTTAAAGCACTTCCAACCTTGTTCTCACATCTCTACAATCTTCCCTCAACACAGAGGTCACTGGTATATGCACACATACACAGATACATATACACTTAGTCTGCTCAGAATTCTACTTTTATCCCAAAATGAAAAAGTTCTCTATGAGGGAGGTAGTGGCACACACCTTTAATCCCAGCACTCAGGAGGCAGAGGCAGGTGGATCACTGTGAGTTCAAGGCCAGCCTATTCTACAGAGTGAGTTCCAGGATAGCTAGGGCTGCACAGAGAAACCCTGTCTCAAAAAAAAAAAGGTCATTATTATTAATCTCTCAAACAGTATTGCTAACCTTGGGGGAGGGTGGTGGCAGAGTGCTGGCTTAGCATGGATAAGGCCTGAGTTCCATCCCCAGCACAATACAAATCCCGAATTTAGGCTGTGGAGGCAGGAGGATCAGAAGCTCAAGGTTATCCTTGGATACCTAGGGAGATCCAGGCCAACCTGCAGATCTCACAAAGGATGGAAGACTGAGGAGTAGGACTGTGTCTGTTGCTTCTCTCTCACCATTGCGTCTACTCCATTCCCTCATGATGGTGGTAGCAGGCAGCCCTCTGCCCTGGCACTGGGACAACTGGGCAGAACTGTTTAGTAGTTGCTGTCCTGTCTTCTGACCTTTTATGCTAGTCTAGGGCAAGAGTGAACTTTTTGGAAATTGAAGGAAATGGAAATTGGCTTCTAACAGAAGTGTCAACTGGTAACATTTATGTAACTACTTTCAGTCATTCATCATTTTTGTGTGTGTTGGCCCATTTCCATGACTAGACTCTTCCATTCTCGGGACATGAACCGAGGGCCCAGCATATGCTAGGCAAGTGCCCTCCATTCACTGGGCTATGCTCTCAGGCCATCCATGACTGGATCCTAATAGCCTGGAGACAGAGTACCACTCTGGCTCACTTTTGAGTCTTATTTTGTAAGGAGTCAGAGGCAAAACCTGTGTCTCTGACCCTTTAATACAGTTCTTCATATTGTGGTGACTCCCAACCTTAAAATTATTCTCATTGCTACTTCATAACTATAATTTTGCTATCGTAATGTAAATATCTGTGTTTTCTGCTGGTCTTAGGCGATTCCTGTGAAAGGCTTGTTTGACACCCCCTACCTAAAGGGTCCCACTCCACAGGTTGAGAACCACTGATCTAGTCTATATTTTTATTTTTTATATAATTTATTTATTTTTATTTTTTGTGAATTGTTTTGCATATATATATATATATACATACTATATATATATATATATATATATATATATATATATACATATACACACCTGTGTGAGGAAGTCAGATCTTGAAGTTACAGACAGTTGTGAGCTGCTGTATGGGTGCTGGGAACTGAACCCAGGTTCTCTGGAAGAGCAGTCAGTGCTCTTAACCACCAAGCCATCTCTCCAGCCCGTAGTCCACACTTTTCTTAGCAAGTATCTTGTTACAGACCACCATATCCTACTGCTGCCCTGCCTCCCACTGAGTGGGGCTTCCCGCTGAATGAGGAATTGTGAGACTTCCCAGTGAGAATTGAGTTAATTTCAGCCTATAAAGTATGATAACTATTTTTATGTGTTTTGTGTTAGGAATTATTTTCACATAGTATGGGGGATTTATGCTCACACACATAATTCATTTCCCAAATACATTAGACTTGAAAGACAGAACAGGGCTTGCAGGTTAAAGTCTGAGCCCCTGAGAAGAAAGCCCTCTTGCCCTTGTTTAGGTCTGATTGGCTCTTGAGGAAGCAGCTCAAGAGCTGCTTTGTGCATTCACTGTCTCTGCCTTACTAGATTTGCTTGGGCTATGCTTGTTCCTCTGCCTGGCCATCAGGAAATTTGAGTTGATGATCTGGCTTCCCTTAAACTGATTACCCTGAGAGCAGACACTGGAAGCCAAGATAAAAGCTTTTAGTGAACA